CTTGTACCTGTGAGAGAATTGCCATGTAGAATAACAGCACCAGGCAATGATGTATCGGTGCCTTAGCAATTATTTTGTGACACCCCTTAGGACACTGTTTTGTCCCTAATGCTATTTACCTGCTACATCAAATCATTTTAGCAACCATTCAGAGAACTGGGACCCAGCGTTCTCAGTGTGCCTATGATGTTCCATTGTGTCCCCTGCAACACATCTGTGTTAAAAGGGGCAATAAAGGTATTGAATGGATGTCTTGATACAAACATGGACTGCATGAGTTGTAATGAACCAAATCCTGGAAAAATGGATGTTGAAGAGTGAATGGTTCCAGGGATTGGATTTCATGATTTTACCTCTTAAGGATAGGGATTCACGTCCTTTGAAATAATGAATATTAACTTTGGAGGTCTTCCGGATCCATCATTGCCTGCAGAGGCTCAAGTCAATTCTGTGACAAACAGTGCCTGTTATCAGCTTTAGTTGGTGCAAGAAGGAGCACCCTTTCTGAGACAGAGGGTAGCTTAGTTTCTCCGGCTCAGGTGTGGCTAATCTCATGTGTGGACTACTGTGGCTTGCTTTGCATGGGACTTCCACTGAATATGGCAAGCTTTAGCTACTGCAGAATGCAGCTTCTAGGGTTACCATATCAGGTTTATATCATGCCCAGACCATGAAAAAGTTATTATTATTTTCACTATAATTCTCAGAATTTCCCTATCCATGGAATTTGGGGAGTTCTAATCCTTTCACCAAAGTAAATGTGCCAAATTGTGATTATGCTGGCACGTCATGAATTGTTCTGGGCGCCTATTAGCTATCTTTAAGGTTATATTATAAAGATGCATATCCCTGAAGAACTCTAGACCAGATTTCCTGAAAGACCTTTGTAGGTCTGCAAAGGCATTGAGCTTGCTCATGGTGCTTCATCCATTTGGTTATCATGTGGCAGTGATCTAGAATCATTTTCCCCCTCCTCTTCTAATACCTGTACTGTGGAATTGCCCTCCTTGTTCTTATCCAGAAGGGAGATGTGTTTTAGATGCCTCCCGAGCATATATTTCTTTGCTCAGAATTTTCTGACGTTCTTTTGAATTTCATACTTTTTAGATGTTGAATGCTGTTTTATCACTTTAAGTCAACTTGTTATTCTCTTGTGGTGCACTGCTGAGACACTGCTTTATGATCAGCAGTCTAGAAATTATGCTAAACAAAATGAATGAGTTAATAAATTTTAAAAGTGTCATATTGTTAATGTGTGTGACCGTATGTGTGCAGGAAGTTGTGGATGCTGACGTGTGACTAGTGCTAGAGTCTTTTTTAAAATTATTTCTCCTTCATCCGGTATGTTATTTCATAGAATAATTCATTGCATGTCAGCACTGGGGGGGGGCACACAACTGTTTTAGATACAGTCTCAACACTTACTTCATTTCCTGGTCTTCCTCAATATTGACCATCTAAAAAACCTGCCTAATCTCCTCCACTCTTGCCTGAAAATTGGTCTTTGTTCATATTAAGAAATATTTTTTTAAAAAAGGATATTCATGCCTCATGTACCTTATGTTTATGTGAGTCAGAATTCTGTTTATACTGCATGTACAATGGCCCGTCTTGCAGACCGTTCCCTCTCCCTACTTTGCATAGCAAGGTTTTCACTTGTGCACAAGAAAGCCCCACAGATTTAAACAGAGCTTATACAACTGCAAGCGAGGGAGCTTGTGGACTGCTCCCTCCTTGGAGCATGATGCTGCTGTAAAGATGCATGAGAGTTGTGCCTCTGATCTTGTGCTGGTGGAGCAAATCAACGTTTTATAAAAATTGTAAATGTGGGAACAACCCCCCCCCAAAAAAAATTATAACTGTAAACAATTTTTTATAACTTCCAATGAATTCTCTAGGTATCTGTTGCTTGGAAAATATGGATGACTACCAAATGCTGTGATGAAACCTTTGCTTTGGGTGGACAAGGGATAAGAGCTTATTCATCCAGATGACCAGTCACACTCACTAGTGAACTAGCCCTTGAATTGACATGAATTTAAGTTTGCACATTTAATCAGAAATACACATTTTTCCTAGGTGTTTTGATTACTCCCCCCTGCCCACACAATACATACCTAGAAAACTTGTTGAAAAACAGCTCTGCTTTGTGTTTATGTGAGAAGCGGTTAACCAATGGAAAAAGGAGTCAGCTTCTGGGATTTTCCTTTGCTTGTGTCACTTTGTGAATGGTAGTGAGCAAACCGGGTATCCTGTAGACCAGTGGGTCCCAATCTTTTTGACACCAGGAACTGGTTTAGATGAGGACCATTCTCCCAAGGACCGGGTGGTAGTGGTGGTGGTGGGCATCCATCTCTGCATGCGTGCAAGGGCATGCGTGCATGCATCTCTGTCTGTGTGGGGGGGCAGGTGTGTGTGTGCGTGTGCAGGGACGTGTGGGAGTCTGTGTACATGTGGCGGTTGGGCAGGGGTTGGGTGTGCATGCAGGAGGCAGGTGGGCATCCGTACATGTGTGTGGGTTCGGGCGGGTTTGCGTTCATGCGGGAGTGTGTGTGTGTGTGTGTGTGTGTGTGTGTGTGTGTGAGAGAGAGAGAGAGAGAGAGAGAGAGCAGGAGTGTGCACAAGTATGTTCCACTGGCGTCTCTGCAGCCCCGTCCTTCCAAAGCCACAGACTGGGACCAGTCTGTGGCCTGGGGGTTGGGAACCCCTGCTGTAGACCATCTTGACTGCTGGCATAGATGTCATCAACATCCAGGCTGTCCTTTGCTAGGTAAAGATTGGCAGCCTTTTTCTTGCTGACAATATGGGAACAATATTATGCAGCAATATTGGGCTATTTCTTGGTATATAAAATCGTGGATACAGAAGCCCTATATCCAACATTCAGAAACTGGATTTTTTTTTTTTGAAAAATTGAATGTTTACTTTACAGAACTCTGCCTTGTTCTCAGGGGCGACATGCACAAAATAGAAAGGCCTGTGTTACGGCTGAGCAATGGGCAGACTGCATATTCTGCTTAAATACAGATGATTCCCATGGTCCATCTAGCCCTTACTTGTCTACCTGATGAACATAATTGTGGGATAATCATGGTCTGCTCATCCTGTGCAACTGACTTGTTCCATCCAGTCTGGTGACAGCATCCTAGAGGAAAATTCCAGGGCAGTAGCTGTGCTCACCTGCAATCTTCTTGCTGCACGGACGAGAGTCTTGTGGCATCATTAAATCAAAAACTTTAATGGACTACAGCCAACTTCTCAGATGCCCCTGAAGATGAATATTGCTGGTTTTTACTGTTTCATAAAATTGTCCTTACAGACCATATAGCCGAGTTTCTTTTGTATTTGCTGGAAAAAGCTTGCTAGTTTTTCATATGCCACAAGGCTTTGCTGTTTTTGCTGGAGGAAGATATTTTCCATGCTCAGAGAATACGACCAAACATAAAGAAGCCAGATTCATGGGTGTCTTTTATGCAGAGTGATGGCCGTAGTTTGCCTGGGGTACTATTGTCAACTGTGACATGGTAAGTTCTCCCTGAACTGTGGTCTTTTTCAATTGTTCCATCCAACATAATTTATCGTGCTGTGCTAGGGGTCAAATTGGGGGACTCATTCATGCAAAGTAAGTTTTGGTTCCTTCCCAAAGAGCTCCTACATGCTGAAATTGGTGAGGTGGGGGACACTATTTTATGAGCTGGGACATTCAGCAAATCATGACTCTCCCACTGAACACTTTTCAGGGGTTGGTGTGTTTTATACATTGTCTTGCTGGGCCGATGCTGTCAGTTGGAAAGAGAATACCAGTTTTAGCCTTGATGCAGTGCAAAACAGCTTGATGGCATACTCTTCACTGTCTGATCATAGCTGTCAAGTACAATTCCAGCTGCAAAACAATATTTCTAAACATTGTTATTCTGGAGCTAGAGTTATGGTGAACTTCCAGGTTGCCATGAGAATTTAACTCAGTTAAAAATAATTAACTTATTTTGCCAGTCCTGTTGACCTCAGAGTGGAACCGGTGTCCTTCCCATGGCATCTTCTCTTAATGTGTATGCATGTTGTGGACCGAGAAGAGTTATAAATGAACATAGTTTGTCTTGCTGATAATTAAAACCTTTGATATTGATGTTATTCATGCTCAAGACAGAGATTTGCATATGTATCATACATAGAATATTGCTCCATTTATTGAACTTGTAGATGGCTGTATTCAGGTACACAGCTAGTATACAAAATGGACTAGCCCTGTTCTTGCCAGCCAACCTGCAGTGCTCCATATGTAAAGCATCAGATTATCCAGATAGTTACAGTTTAGTTTGCCGGTACAGGATCAAAGCAAATCTATTAGCAGTGTTTTGGACAGAAGCAGTTTCTTCTCGATGTATTCTCAAAGGCTTTCGTGGCCGGGATCCAATGGTTATTGTAGGTTTTTTGGACTGTTTGGCCGTGTTCTTAAGATTTTTTTCTTCCTAATGTTTTGCCAGTCTCTGTGGCCGACATCTTCAGAGGAGAGGAGTCAGAACTCTGTCTGTGCTCTGAGACGGGCGAAATGTTAGGAAGAAAAAACTTAAGAACACAGTCAAACAGCCCGAAAAACCCATAACAACCACTTTCTTCTCAGCTTACATCCCCCTTTTTCATGCTGTTATTAATAATAATTAACTTACTTGTGACAACCCTCTCATGTGCAAAGTACTTCTAGATGCAAAGTACTTGGAAATGGTATTCTACGGCCTCCTTCTGGTGGTGTTCTGGAATTGTGCGGTTTCCCCAAGGCTGCACCGGTGGCAGGGCATGTCACTCCACCAGCCACAAATGCTCGAAGTGATCTCAGCAGGTTCCTCCCCAGGAGGTGTGGTAGGAATTTGAACCTTCAGTGCCTTGGCTCGGGACACTCTGGTAGCCTTCTCGGCTGCACCATCTCTCTCCCCCCCTCCCTCCCTGCTTAGATTAGTAAGCGATTAATGAGGCATTGTTTTTTTCATCTGGTTGTTCTGCAGTATGTTCTTTGAGCCTGTGACTACACCCTGTGGCCACACTTTCTGCAAAGAGTGTGTGGAGCGCTGCCTAGACCATCGGCCCAACTGCCCGCTTTGCAAGCAGAGCCTCAGAGAAGTAAGAGGAATCCCTGCCAAATGTTTAGAGGGTGGATAAAGAGAATGGTCGGAATTATTTGCTCCATGTATCTCTGCTGCCTGGAGTTGTTTCTTTTCATTTCGAGAGGGATGGGGTGCCGAGGGGGATGGTGGGAAAAGGAGCTACTGTACTGGATTGTATCTCTGCACATTGAGAATACTACTCTTTCCCTCTAATTTACTGGGATAGTTATGAGGGCTTGCGGTATATAGCTCAAGTGTCCTTTGTGAGAACAGGCCTTCTGGGCCTCTCCTATCTGTGTGAAAGGGGAACTTCTCGAAGGTGCGATGCTATAGCAGCAACAGTGACTCTCAAAATGTCTATATTACAATGTTGTTTTTAAGTGCTATTGTTTCTGATTTAGAGCAGTCCTAATAGGCTCTTAAAGGTATGTGAGATTATCAATTATTATTGCTGCTACTCTGTGTGTTCCCCAAGCAGGGATTTGAGCACAGGTCTCCTGAGTACTTGTCTGATGGTCCATTTGCCATACCATACTGGATCTGTTGGACCAAATTAAGTATCTTTAGCTTCCAGGATTATCTGATAAAAGTTTTTGATTCCTCTTCAAGTGCTAGGTTGGAATAGATTAATGAAGTGTTATTAGAAATGACTTCACATGGAGAGTCAGTCAGAAAATGTTAGATGTTGAAGGGAACAATTAGTGGGCACATAACATTTTTTTATTCAGTAGGAAAACGTTAAATAATACTTTTAAGGTAAGATCACCTGACACATAGTGTTATTGCTCAGAAATAGGAATCACATACACCATACCAGGAGTGAGAAGGCTAGATAGTGGATACAAGACCATGGTTCTCCTCTGAATAGGTGGCATTTCTTTCTTGAAACAAAATTAGAAGAAATGTATGCAATCCACGTACAGTATTTATTTCCTCCTTACACTATTTCTCCTTTGTATGAGATGATGTGGGGAAACATCAGTATAATTTGAATATATCCAGACTTCCTAAGCCCTTCATAGAACAGAGCTGAGATTGAAAATAAGCAACCAAGGGCCTGGTTACATTAAAGATACGTTACACAATATTCCTCGGTGTTATTTGATTTATAATCATGTGATGGGCAAAATCTGGAGGCAATATTTACACCAGATTGCTAGAAAGAATTATGGTTTTGATGCTAAGAGCATCATTTCTCACTCTTCTTCAGTTGCTTGGAAATTATAGATACAGCATTGGCAACTTTTCAGATCAGCAATAGAGAGTTCTGTGAAACCTTGAAGACTGACAAATTATATTTGACATAAACTTTCATGAACTACAGACCACAATCAAATGTGGAAAAAATTGTTAGTCTATAGTGCGCAACAAGACTTGTTGCTGGTTTTGCTGCAGCAGGCAAACATCCCCCCACCCCCGCTCAACATTCCCTCATGACAAGAAGGTCTCAACTAATGACTTATAGCACATAACATTAAAAGAAGAAAAGCAAGTACAGTACTTTACTCCTCTGTATGTTACTATTCAAAAACTGGTGAAGATTAAAATAAAACATGAAATGTATTTCTTAAAAAAGCAAAGGGCACTGCTTATATACTACCCCATAGCGCTTCAAGCACTCTCTGGGCAGTTTACAAGTTAATTATGCAGGCTACACATTGCCCCCCTCCAGCAAGCTGGGTACTCATTTTACTGACCTCGGAAGGATAGAAGGCTGAGTCAACCTTGAGCCGGCTACCTGGGATTTGAACCCCAGGTCGTGAGCACAGTTTTGGCTGCAGTACAACAGGTTAACCACTGTGCCATGAGGCTCCTACAGCTGGGTCTCTCATACCAGGATGTATTCTGGTTTGTGTTTTTTGGCTCAAAGCATATGAACTACATTTTGTAAATAAAACTTCTAAAGTTTTATTTTTACATCATTTATTTTTCAGTTCAGTATGGACAAGAGCTTAGCATAGCCTGAAAAGTTTAAATGAAACAATGAAACACCAACAACTGACTTAGTATGCTTAAAGTCAAGGAAGCAAAAGTCTTCAAACTGAAACTATTCCTTAGTAGGTCAGGAAACTCTCATAGGGATTGGGAGGGGTTTGGATCTGAAATGTGTGGTCAACATGTTACAAAAGTTGAATCCTGTTGGATGGAAATTTTTAGGTTTTGCACCACTTTCAGCTGCTTTCATGGGGTGGGTGTCCATTAATAAATGATCCCAAAGCTCCTGAATCCAATCTTGACTGATTCCTGAACCTTTCAGAGGGGTTGCAGTTGTGGCACTTGCTGATGCCAAAGAGTGTAAAAGAAGGTGTTTTTGCATTGTAGGCTACCTAGATATACCCAGATTTGCAGGTACTAGGAGGGCTTGTGGTGTTTGTTTTGGTTGTGTCATCAAATTCCTTGAAGATATTGTCCCAAAATGCCTGTACCAGACAATGTGTCTACTTGAAAAAGAAAAGTAAAGCTTTTATAAACAGGGGATATGAAATGATGCATAATTAAGGTGTGTCATAAATACTTCCCTTTTTTAATTCTTGTTGTTACAATTTTGAAATGTCTCTTATTTCTTCTAGTACCTGAGAGCTGGAAAATATAATACCACAGTTCTGCTGGAGGAGCTTATGAAAGCAGTTTTCCCCTCACAGCTGGCAGAAAGGAAACTGATCCACCAGACAGAAATGGCAGAACTTTCAAAGTAAACAGATATTTTTGGCTGTGCATGTTTGTGTGTGTGTGTGAGAGAGAGAATGAGAAAGTAAAAGAGAGAAATTGAGATGAGTGAAAAGCTCTGATGGCTCACTGTAGCCTGAAAGAAGTACTTTCCGCAATCCTAAACTTGTCTACTTAAGGTCACTGGACCTTAGTCCCAGATAAGAGCAAGGCTATAGCCCTAACAAAGCACTTACTAACAATTTGATCAGGATCCTCCAAAGAAAAAGGGTTGCCAATGGTGACATCCAAATTATTTGGAAAAAAAATGGTTTGGAGTAAGAAAAGCAGAGCACGTTATCAGACATACTAAGTTCAGAAATGCAGATTCGTGTCACCCACTGATGACTTAACTGACTTCATTTTATCTCTGTTGCTGGTCCTTTATGAAAGAACGGTATTAGGATGCACAAATCTGTTTGGTTCAGAATGGCTTTTGATACATTTTTTGCTCATATATTTAAAATGCTAAAATAAACAGATTCTGTTCCTTAGATCTTGTGAGCCATGGTAGCAGCCTAATGTGAGAAGGGGAACTGGAGGAATATACATATGTTAAAGGGACATGAGAGAGAGAAAAAAAGAGAGAGAAAGAGAGAATCGTATCATGTGTGAAGTAGAAATAACATTGCTAATATGGTAGGAGTTTTGGTGAACTTGAATGTTATGAGTCATTTAAGGGCCAGCTTCAGTAACCTATAATATTTCCATGGCAGAAATATTAATTTTTCTTTCTGTCTTAAAAACAATGCCCCTATATCCTAGTGGGAGGGGGATCTTCTGACTAATCCTTTCTTCCTCCAGGTACCTCATATTATCATCCCTTCTGGCCCATGTCTCTTTTCTCTCAGCCTCTCTGGCTATGCCATCACCCCTATCCATTGCCAGTTGGGTCCCCTGGTGGCATTTTTTGCTTCTTACAGTTGGCTCCCATCTCAGAAGAACTGGCATTATTGGATAAGAGTTAGTTAGCTACAGCACCACTAGAGTTCACATGGGGATGGGGATGTAATGCTAGGCAGATCATAGGTGAAGTAGATGTGAGTCTTGATGGGCCCTGGGAAGGTATGTGGGTCCTGGCAGCTCAGTAAATTCACATCTGGAAGGTATGAGCAGCACTTAGGAATGCAGAAGAATAAATGTTCCCCATTCATCCCTTGCCCTTTTGGACTTTCAACACCTCATAGCCAGTTAAGATACATGTAGCACTTCAATTACCTTTAAAGTATATAGTACAAGTGATAGCTTGTGGTATCTCCTCCTATAATGTGTTGCTCCTTATCTGCATTGGGAATGTGTAATTGTGTTTCTCACTTCTTGTTCCTGCAGCTTGACCAAGAGCATCCCAATTTTTGTGTGCACAATGTCGTTTCCAGGCATTGAATGTCCTCTCCATGTGTTTGAGCCTCGTTACCGCCTCATGATGCGAAGATGTCAGGAGACTGGCACAAAGATGTTCGGCATGTGTATGTATGAGAATGGGAAGAGGTGAGTGATAAGGGAAGGATCAGTGTTGACCTTGCTAGTCTAGTTATGCTAGTATTAGGTATTTTTCCTTGGTTGAACCAATGGGCTCAGCCTAGATAGTGCAGTACTTGAAGTGACCTAGGGTGAAGCTATTAATGTGGTTCTAATCCTGATTTCATACACCCCAACAATCCCCAAATAGAAATCAGTCAGACTTTTGTACATTTGTACTCCTTTTCACAGGAATTTTGTAGGATCTTCAGCTCTTTGGACATTTGAAGGACTCACTGGTTTTAAGGTTGAGAGGGGAGCACAGAAATGGGGTCTATGCATGTCCCGGATCCCTACCCCAATTAGAGGCCCGTTTGCATGTTCAAGCAAATGTCTGAACAGGGTTATAGACTTGGGTTCTCTTCCCACTTCCTGCTTGGCCACATTTATTACTTGAGCAGGGAATGCCCAATTTCAGCCTCTGTTTGTAGTTAAAATACTCAGCTTCTCCTTTTATTTGTGGCCTTTTTCTAATAAAGTGTGGAAGAATGTGCATTTGGGAAGGAAAACAGTCCATATTTTCATAGCAAATGTGCAGCAGTCTTTGCTAGGTACATCTCAATGGTCAGGAAATACCAAGAATAGAGTGTAGGTTTGGTGATGAAGATTGATTTGCATTTCATTGATGCTCTAGTCACATGGACTTTCCTTACAGAGAGTCAGTGCTGCAGAGAGCCAAGGAATGGCGGGTACAGCATGGTTGTGGCTCCTGACATTGCCTACTGCCAGCCCTATCCTGGCACTTGAGTGCTCCGTATAGAGATGTTAGGATAGTGGAGCTTCATCCATGAACCCTGCTCATGGAGGCAGCCTGTGAAATGGCCTTAATGTATTGTTTTGGACCATCTTGTAATCCCAAAGATATCTTATGAATCATTGTCCATTTACTATTAGTGGTTTAAGGGGATAAGTAAAAGATATAGGGAATTTCTTCTGTGAGACAAAAGTTTAATTGATAGCTGAGTGGCAAACGAAGGTGAAACTGCTAGGGAGACCTTTCAGCATCTGACAATGATTGTATTTATTCCTGAGATGCAAACTTGCTTGTATTAAATAGCTGCACTATCTTTAAAAAAACAAATAGGTCAGTATGGCAGTCCTTTAAGGCAAAGAGGAAGTGAAGTTCTACACAGCTGAAATTTTCTCTTCTGGTGGTGGGTGACCTGCAGCTGATGGGCCACTTTCACCCTCACTCTACTTATATCTGCTATTCATTGAAAACTCAAGAGCTGCCTCCCAAATTTGGTGCCGCCAACAACAACAACAACAATAATAATAATAGAAGAAGAATGTATTTTGCTTTCAAATATGGGGCTCTTGGAGGCTCCCAGAAGTGTAATTCTTTATTAAAATATGGCTTGTGTTTTCCAACACACTTTTTTCTGAAGGTAGAAAGCTTTGCCCTTTTAAAAATTATTTGCACATCTAGTGGTCCTACAAGGCCAAATTTCAGTGGCATGGTGGGATGTGCAGACTGTTATGGCTTCTTGGAATGTGATTGGTTCCTAGACCTACTGAATTTGCCCACTCCTACTCTACAGAACCAATAACAGACCAGGATTTGAGCCAATAAAAACTCTTCTCTGTGTTTCTTTTCATTACTCTTTCCCTTCTCTTCAGTTTTGCAGACTATGGCTGCATGCTGGAGATTCAGAAAATAGTATTTCTGCCTGATGGACGATCATTAGTGGACACGATAGGAAAGCGAAGGTTCCGGGTTTTGAGACGGGGGCACAGAGATGGCTATAACACTGCTGACATTGAGTACTTGGAAGATGAGAAGGTGAGGGGTTGCATGTGGAGTATTGCATGCAGAGTCTTGCTGTCGTGTCCTTAATATGGAATAGAGGTTAAAATAAACTCGGCTTTTCAGAATACAATAGGTGCTCAGCTGGTGGTGTCGTTTTGGTGATGGAGTGCATGTGGTGAGCATTCATGTCACCAACCACAAAATAGTCTTGGTTTTGCACTAAGAGCTCTCCCCTTCAGTGGTTGAAAGTTCTCTGGAGGAGAGATGCAAATAGGTGGGGCTGTCAAACAACAAAGTAATTTCAAGCCTATTAATTAATATAACTGATCAATTGAATTTAAATACATTTTTTCAGGCTAACCTGAGTTCACTTCTGAGATTGTTGGGAATGAGAGGGAACTTGCGGTTAAACAAACGAAAGGCACTGCTCATTCTTTGTCGTTTGTTATTAAATTTATATCATGCCTATCTACCAAAATGGCATTTCTTGCTGAAAGAAAATGACATATTTGCATTGTATTTAAAGTGTGGCATTAACTCTTAGTATCAGTAGTGAAAATGGACTATTGGCAGTTAATTAGCTAAAGCTTTAGTTGACTTGTCTGTTGTTGGAGGCTTGCATCCACAAAGATGAGTAAGGTGGTAACTTTTTTCTTCTGTCTTGCTAGATAGCTCAGTGAATTAAGTATGAGCCAGAGGCTGGGAGTTAAATTTGCCCACTGTGCATAAGAGAAGTGACATCCTGTATGGCCTTCGGCAATCTGCACAATCCCAGGGTGTGCCTAGAAGAAGGGTGTGGGAAACCTCTTCTGAGTACTTTTTACTTAAAAAGTCCCTGAGAAGGGTTGACATAAGTCAGAATTGACTTGGTGACACACAATTATTTTGTTGGCAACTGTATGAGACTTCTCATCAGGCAACTAATGTAACAAATTGTTACTTAACCTATCTTAAGATGCATCTCAAGACCATTCAGATTCCGGAATACAATGTAGTTTGTTCATTTTATTTATTTAAAGTATTTTAACGTCACCTTTCTCCTTAGAAAAAGACCCAAGGTAACTTACACTATTTAAAGACAATATTTAAGAATGAAACAATGAGTATACAAAGGTGGTGTACATCCAGTATGGACTGGGAGCATGCATGCACTCACACATCATCAAAGAAAAATGTGATCTAACAGCACTTTGTCTGTTCCTTGTGTCTTGGAGGGTTGGTTTTTTTTGGGGGGGATTCACCATTTAGCTCCATCATGTTCTGCCAAGTCATTGTTCACGCTTGCTTGCTTGCTTGCTTATTTTCTATACTGGCCTTCTGGCTACCTAGGCCACTCTGGGCGGTTTACACAGTATAATAAAAAAGACGAAACAATACAGTAACAGGATGGTAGTATAAAATAATGCAATATAGACAAATGGAAATAATACCAGTAATGCATTAAAATAAAAATTCTGTAAGGAGAGCATGGTGGGGTTGCACAGTAGCTGTTGTATCAAAGTATAGTAGTCTGGGAAGGCCTATCTAAATAAAAATGTTTTTAATAATTGCTTAAAAGTTCCCAACGAAGATGGGCGTGAATACTTAGCTTTGATCTCTCTTTACCTCCTTCATTCTTTTCTGCTCTCAATCCTTGCTGATGTGCCTCTGCCTTTCCGCAATCCACTCCCCGCTTTCCACTTGTTTTCAACTCCTTCCATCTTCTGACATCTTTGTATAGGTGGAAGGAGAACAACTTTCTGAACTTCAGTATTTGCATGACTATACATACCAGCTGGCACAGAGATTTTATGAACATGGGGACACCACCTTCAGACAACTTTTGATGCACCATGGATCCCTTCCGGAGAAGGAGGAAGACATACAGGTACTGTTCATTCCAGATATGGTTGATGCCAGTGTTCTGAAAAAGAGTGGGAAGCCAAGTTGGGACCACTGGGATTCCCAGTCTGGATCAAAGAGTTTCTGTGGCACCCTTTCTTGAAACCCTGACACCTCTAGCAGCAAAACAAAAACTCAGGGGCCCTCCATGCCTAGAAGCTTGGTTTGTTACTTCCCTACACAGGGAAGGTGAATGGTAAGGCTCATGAAATTAAGTTTCAGGAGTCTAATCCAGAGGTCGGCTCCCATGGGTTATGTTAGGGCTCTTCTTGTAGGAAACATGTCTACCCCTAGTCTAAATCATAATGTTCCAGGACAAACAGAATTAGAAACCAGAGGATGTTAGAAGTTACTGCTAATTCGCACATATAGGTCCTGTTCCATCTTTGCTCTTTTGAAAATCAGAAGAAATCTATTTTGTTGGTATCCGTAGCTGCAGCACTGGGCACAGTATTTTATACTGGCATGCCTTTGGTAGCATCCTGTTGTGCACAGTTGTATCCCAAAACTAACTGAGTATATCAGATGCTCACAGAATTACACATTGGAGCCATGCTAAGCCATTTATTCTATAGATAGTGCTTGAGGCACCAGTATTAATGTTCTTGATAATAGCTGTTGCTATTGCAATAGCATTGACTCACATTCAAAGCAAAGAGGAACTGGCATTCTACAGAAGTTATATGTTCTACAGCAGTGGTGTGTAATAGTTCAGTATACAGTTTTACAGAGTATGTGATGTACACTATGGAGGAGCTGTTAATACAACTGGAAAATCTGATCATGACAGTTCAGGAATTCTTGCACTTCTCTGTTTCACTGGTTGATTTAGCTCACTGATTCATAGCTCTGTGTTTCAGCCAAATTGAACCACTCTCTTGTTAACTTCTTGCTTTCTACATAAAATGGTACCAGCTATTCAAGACATGGTGCAAATGTCAAGCTTTCAGTATGGCATTAGTCTTGGTTTTCAAAGAACGCAAGTACAATATTGCATCCCGCACTTAATCTATTCTGTGTAACTGTGGATTCAGTGAAACACAAGAAGTTAAGGGCAGCCCCACTAAGACTGCATTCTTATGTTCAGTTCTTGGGAGTGCACTACTGAGTTAAAAATGCTTAGCAGACATACACAGTATTGAACTTTTTTGAACAATTAAAATATTTACCACTATTTGCGGTTACAGACTAATGTAGCCAGCCCGCTAAAAATTTTAGTAACATTGGTCATCTCTATAATCCCATGATTCCTAACCTGGGAGTTCAGGTGTTCTTGGACTACAACTCCCAGAAGCCTTCGCCATTAGATGTGGGAGTTGTAGTCCAAGAACTCTGGGGACTCAAGAAGAGACATGATTCAGCATTACCGATTTTTCAACTTCCCCTTAGTTATCAAAACAAGTTTTGGATAGTAAACCATCCAAAGCACTGTTTAGCTGCCACCGTTGATTTAAAATGTTTTCAGAGAAGCTCTTCATGAAGTATAAGTAAATGTTGTAGTCTTTCATAGAAGTGTCATCTGTGGACGCTGGAAAAAGCACTCCATTTGTTGATTGCCACATTGAGCCATTAAAACATCCTTCTGGCCAGAGTTGTGAAGCTTTAACTACCGCATTTAATCCTCAAGTACAAGTACAAAATAATTTTGAGAAAAGCTAAAGCTAATGTGTGTTAGTCTCAGAGGACAAACCACATTTCTGTTCAGTTTGTAGTTTTTATGTTCTTAGAGGTTATTTTAAACCTCTTTTTTTGGGTATTTAAAATATGTGTGGAAGTTATTTATTCAAAACCTCCTTTTCCAAAAACTAAATGCTGCATTTCTTCCAGCTTCCCTAGGGGCTGTTCGTAAATTATTGCCTCAGAACTATGTTGTCTAAGTTGCTAAAAAAGAAAGATGTTTCTCGTGTCTTTTATTAGTTTTATGGTATGTGGTTCATTGTTTTGTCAGACAATCTTTTGCTTCCTAAGCCACAAAAATCAAATGAATCCATTAAAAATAAGGAAATTTTGAGTACTTTTAATATATGCCCCCTTAAATAAAGATTGCACTTAAAATACTGTCTAGATGGGAGGTATTGCTTATTCAGTCCATGAACTCTAGTTTTAGGATTGCTGTACATAAATCCAAGTAGGATGGCCATGTGTGCTACTTTACAGAAGACAAATCCTTATTTTTAAATTGAAAATTTACAGTTTAAAAATAAGAAATCACATACAGGAAGAACAGTTGTAACTGGTCAACAGTAGTTATCTTATAGCTCGAAGTCCCACCTGGTATGGTGATATGCTTTGTATTTCTATGTCAATTATAGTTACTGCTTATAAATTTGGACATATATGGGCACATGCATGTAAACTGGCACATACTAAATTTGTGCAGGATTATGTTATCCTTTTCCCTACTGATGAATTTCCCCTTTTGAGCAATGCCTAGATGGTCACTTTACAAATAAATCATTTCTCAGTTGTTAAAATCAGTGTAGAGAGCAGTGCCTTTTGGGGCCATTGTCTTTTCCTTGAGATGCTTCATCTTCTGTTTCGAATGTATAATAGCAAAGATAAACCAAGACTGGTAAGCATTTACGCGTTGTCTGGGGACAAATCTCAGAATGCCAATGTGAGCATGTTTTCAACACACTTCACACTGCTCTGTAATTTAGATGATTTTTAATCAGCTAATGCATTTTAATTATTATTATTCAATTGTTTTTTAATTGTATAATTTATTGTTTTTAGTTTTACATGTTTTAATGCTGTGAGTCACCTTGAGTCTCCTAATGAGGAGAAAGGCAGTCTACAAATGACGCTAATTAATTAATATACTTTTAAAAATCCCTCTATTTTATCTTCTATATCCTAAGGAAGGTCGTGTAGTTTATAAAAGACCAAAAATGCATTGGCTTAATAGAATAAAGAGCATTTACTGTGGCATGCTGAGATATCTCTACCCAGACTTTTTCTGTGTGTATGTTTTGCTTCTTCTGCCATAATAACAGAGCTACAAGAAATAGCCCTTAGAAGGATTGATAGTTACCTCTAATTTCTTCTTCTTCTTCTTCTTCTACTACTACTACTACTACTACTACTACTACTACTACTACTACTACTACTACTACTACTACTAAAGGAGAAAGAATGTTCTCCAGGAGCATAAATACTAGAGATGGGGATGACTCGCCATTTTGGTGAGTCGTCCTGCTTTGTGATCCATCAAAGTTGATGAATCATAAAGCTCCCCCCCCCAATGAACTGACAAAGCAGAAATTTATTTGTAGATTCTACCCCTTGCCATGCCGCCGTGCCACCGCTTCCCCGCCGCTGCGCCCCCACTGCCCCCACCGTAGTCGCTGTGGTCTCCAGCTGGCCTCTGCAGCCATGGCCTGCAGTAAGGGACACTGGATGCCCTTTGCAAAGATGGTGGCTGCGGCTTCATTTAGGGTAGGGAAGCTGCAGCCTCCAACTTTGCAAAGGGCAGCCAGTATCCCTTACTGCAGGCTATGGCTGCGGAGGCCAGCTGGAAACTGCGGTGGGGGATAGGCTGTGGGGGTGGGTGGCTATGGGGTGGGTGGCTGCCTGTCGGCTAGCCTTCCCTCTCTTCCTATGGGGGATAAATAAAAAATGGGGAAATAGTCATCCCTTCGTATCCATCAGGGTCTCTGAAACTGACAAATATGAAGGGATGAATATTTAACGAATCAGCAATTTTTCACAAATATCGCAATCTGTTTTTTTAGTCATCCCCATGTCTAATCATTACAATATATTGTTAACTGGCAAACTACATTGCCCCCTTAGTCCTACTGCTCTATCCATATCCTTGGTTATACTTAACCAAAAACAGTGCTGATTTCTCATGAAGACCAGTCTTGTGTAATCTTTTAGGTATTGTTCTGGCTCTGTTCCTTAATAATTTATTTTGATAGCAATTAACCACTCAGCCTATTCAGTTTAAAATGCTTATTAATGTTAATGGTATTGAAGATAATTAGTCATTTGCTTTGTATTAAAGAGTATATGATGATGGATGTTAAGTACTCAACTGGTGAAGGTATTCTCCCTCATACTACTGTACTCGGTATAATCTTGGCGTTGTCAAATTTGTTGTCCTCCCTTTGTCCCATTAAAACAGGTCTTAATTTGTTTCTTGTGCAAAGACATGGATTTCCTCATATGGTGAGTTTATATCTTTTTCACGTTTTCCCACTAGGCATCTCCAGATGGGCCAGTTTGGTGTTGGTGGCTGATATCTGTCTTGCCTCTTGACCTGACCCGCAAATTGACACTCTTCTCTGATGTCTCTCTGAAGTCTCGCCTCACCCAGCTGAAACATATTTTGAATGTGATTCTGGAAAGTCGTGACTACAATAGCTAACTCTCTGACCTCCTTCCAAGAAGATTATAAAAATCACAGAAGGAACAAAGTGGATTTGTGCTGCATCGCCCACCACTTTTCTTTGTTGATCGGAGTTAAAGCCTTTACCTCTTCTGGTTCTTCTCTATTACTTCTCTGTGTTCCAGTTGTTTTGTTTTACAGACTTGACCTCAGCAATAGGCCACAAACCAGTAAACTGAAGCTAGTGTGCAGTGGTAGAAATATTCACTAGCAGTGGTGTACCGTCCACAGGAGATTTTTTTTTCTTAACAGCCTTGAGAATGCAGTTTGTTTAAATGTGAAATCTGTCCCAGAAACCTGACTAATAATGCCCATCTTATCCTATGTGAGGAAATATCTCAGGAACTTAAAACCCCTCCCAGGGGGAAAAAATCTACAAATGCTAGAATGTTATCTTTTATTCTCATTTATCAGGACTTGTTTGGGATGATCTGAAACTGCAAAATACCTATTGTTCCATTTTCATAACTTAAAACATTCTCCTGCAGCTGTTATTGTGGAATGGGGAAATATGCTGAAGTATGTCAGCAGCCAGCCACACACACACTTCTCAGTAGATAATAGGAACTTCACAGGAAATTATTTTGGATCTGATCTACAATGGTGAGGGTTAATTGGCCTCCAGGTGCAAATGATTTAATCCCAGTCACCCCTCCAAACAAGAGGAGGAGTTGTTGTTTGGGAGATCGGGCCAGATGAGTCATGTAGTTTGGTCCATAGGTATTGTGAAGAAAATTGCTGGAGAATGAAGATGTAGATAGAATTACAACTATGTGATATAAGGGACTAATAAACAACATTGCTGGAATGTTGGCCACACATCTCCCATGTAGCTAGGACCAGATCGTTCATGGTTAGAAAATGAGTAGCCTCCACAGAACTACAGAGAGCACAAAGTTGTGTAATTCTCTGTTGTGGGATGGAGTAAAGAGCTAAAAGATGAACTATGGTTTCAAATGGTGGAGTTATCTCATCTCTGCTCACAGTTGTTAAGTATCCTACTCTATTGATCTGCCCAGTTTTCTGAAGAAATTACATAAAGTACAAAATCATCTTGAAAATACTATGAATCTTCTTGTGAAAGTCTTTGTACAATGGAGATAGACATATACACGCATAGATGCAGTACAGGATCCTGCCTTACAAGGGCATGCAAGTCTGTACACATCTTCAGAATGTCATGGGACTCCATTCTTGCTGCAAAAGTTTAGTCCTACTGCTATTCTGGAATTTGCTTCCATGATAGATAGAGACATGGGCGAGTATTAGAGAGTTCTTGACTCCTGACACCAAGAATATCACCTTGAGAGAACAACAGTGCATTATGTCCTTTTATTGTGACTTTTGGCCCTGATTTTAAAGTTCTTTAGGAATCCGGCTCTGTTGTCATTGAGTGGTTCTTAAATGTTCCCCTAATACCGAGCATTGGCTTCATTTCCTGTTGGCCTTGTCCATGTTCACTTTCTTAAAAAAAAAATTAAAACTTTTGTTGTAGGCTGATGAACCTTCTATTAAAAAGTACTGGAAGATTATCAACTGGAGCATAACTAGAGAAAATAATCTTTCTTTAGAGACAATGACAAAGGCGGAGGGAGGGGAAGTGACTCACTTGCAGATCAGTGAAAGCTACCTAGAAATTCAGCACTCTGAGAAAACATCTAGTAATGATTGCTTATTGTATTGTTGTACCAATGCAATCAAATATTTGCTGTGCAATAGTTGATACACTGTTTTTCTAATATTGTAGATATGCTCACGATACAGGTTTTGGGGTGGGTTTTTTTAAAATTTTAAATTTTGCCCTATGGGTTACCTAGAAGTCTTTTCTAGACTTGCCTTGAGATGTAACATGAAGGATTATGGACTGTGTAGTTGTCTTTAAAGAGATAGAGGTTAATGCCTGTGAATTTTTGTGGCACTGCAAAGAGGCAGTACTCTGCCTTCAAGAGCACTAGAGACTCATGAGTTTTCCTTGGCCACATTTTTTTATCTCTTCTTGCCAAGGTTTACAACTGTAAACAAACTCACATTCGTGATCAATAATTTCAGTTCATTGATGTCCCTTTTAGCTGAATTCATCAATGGCTATTCTCGTGACGTTTGGGCTGGGGATTGAGTTTTTGGTTTTTTAAATTTTCCCCTTCAGTTGTCGAAGCTCCACTTCGAAGCAGTGCAAGTCTCGGTGAATGGTAGCCCAGCAAATTTTTAAGATAACATTTGCTCTAAATGTAGAAGGGGTATTAAATATATGAATTTGAAATTTTGTTCTTCTTACTTCTGTACCATAATATAGTTTGGATAAGATTTTGAAAATCTTATCCAAGGGAGAGGGAAGTAATCAATGCTGCCGATGTTCCTGATCCTTTCTCGTGTGTTGCGGTAGAACAAATGATGTCAGCCTTGCCTCTTGGCACAGGAGATGGGTCCTAGGTTGGCGTATTCTGTTCATGCACTTTTTCTTATTCCTTTTCCATCCCCTATTTATTTGTAAACTTCTCAGGACAGATAGTTACACTAACATTGCATTAACTGCTTTGCAGGATTTTGGCACAGACTCTTATTAATCTTGGCCTCTTTCCCATTATCTTAAGCCCTTTTGTCAGCAGAAGATGATGTTATAAACATCTGTGCTATTTAGTACAGACTACAGCTGGGATTCAGGGATCCCTGGAAAAGACCCTGATGTTGAGAAGGTGTGAAGGCAAGAGGAGAAGGGGACGACAGAGCACGAGATGGTTGGACAGTGTCATCAAAGCTACCAACATGACTTTGACCCAACTCTGGGAGGCAGTGGAAGACAGGAGGGCCTGGCGTGCTCTGGTCCATGGGATTACGAAGAGTCTGACCTGAATTAACGACTAAGCAACAAATAGCTCGGATTCAGCAGTCTCTCTGCCTGTTTTGCTACCAGCTGTTCTTCAGTTTACTTACAAAATGGCATATTCTAAGGCACTTAAATCAAGCGATTCTTCTGCATAATGTGCATCATTAAGGGGAATAAGGAGCTTTAGAAACCAAAGATATTGAATGGTGGTTCAAAAGGATGGGACAAAGTTGGTTTATTCAGATGTGCACTTCCTTTTTATGTATTTAGTTTAGGGTTTGTTTGTTTTTTTAATTACTGGTTGGAATTAAATACTCGGGCAACTACATGGTGACTCCTTCAAATATGGTTGCTTGGCCATTGCAATCCAACTTTGCATCTCATGAAAGGAACTCTGGTTACCAGGACAATGAACATGACATCTTATGGGTATTTTGGTCTATTTGCATGGCCTCTAAACGATGGGTAAGGAGAAGACTGCCCACCCAGCAGTTAGGCTGGGGTGGCGAGTGCTTCTGTGAATAAGGATGGAAGGGATTTTTTCTATTATGGAAGGGATTTACTGCTGCTGTTCCTTGCTTTGTGTGCTGTAGGGAATGGAAATATGAAGGGAGTATTTAAAGCCACTGACCATACGCACAGGTTTCTCTTCATTGGAAAGTGCCTCCCCCCCCCCAAGAGCTACTTCAGAGTCAGGCCAAGTTGTGGGAGAAGGGATTTAAAAACCTTTCCTTGACTCTCTCTAGTAATTAGCTTTAGTTGAGTTGCATAGTCAAACAGCAAAAAATAAAAAATAAAAAAAAATCCATCCTGCTCTTTTCTCTCTCTCTCTTTTTTTTTTAAAAACCTATAGGGATTCCATTCTCTTCTTTTTGTCAAAGTTATAGATGTGGATAGAGAAATTTGCACTCTGTCAGCTGCATGGTAACTGTTCCCTTTTTTTGTAACTTAGAAATGAGCTTTCTATTTCACCTGTTTAAAATGTGTTGGAGTTGCTCCACTTTGCTTGGAGTTTATTTGGATTTGTATCTTTTTATCCCCTTCTGCTCATTTTCTCCCCTGTCAAACTAATAAACTTTATATTTTTGAACACAGCATTCATGTATCTTTAATTTTCAGAAGGTTTATACATATATTTCCTCAGGATTTTCTCAAAGACACTTACATTGAGTTTCAAAGAGTTTCATGTCCTGTACTTTCCTCCCAGTATTCTTTTGTCACAGCATTCAAAAATGTGTACTTATTCTGCTTGCACTTTGAGTTACCTTGATGTCTATGTTCTCATGACAGGGAGACAATTTAAAGATACACTGGGAAACAAGAGGCAAGAAATGTTGCAATGAGCCTCAAGTGTTTTCACTGTGTGTGCTCAAAGATGTTAGAAACCTCCTGCATGGCTTCAATATTACATATTATTAAGCTAAACCGTGTATTTTGACACTTGAAGTAAACCCTGCTCAGATCAACCCTTCTGATCGTGTCATGAAATCTTTTCCCACTAGGTGTCATTGTAGAATAGAGGACTTCACTGATAAAGGACAAAAAACAAATGTACTGCTGTTTAGTTATCCCAGTACATACGTGTTTTAGAGCCCCCCCCTCCTCCCTTTTTTAGTTCCCATTCCCATAATATTTATTTGTTTAATTTATATATGCCGCCCACACTACCCAAAGTTCTCTGGGTGGCTTACAACAATTGAAATACAATTAAAAAGATAAAACAAAATACAATTAAAATATATACTTTAAAATTGCCATCAGGACCCACAGTTGGTATTATTTCAATTAAAAGCCTTCTGAAACAGGAAGGTTTTGACCTGGTGCCGAAATGTCATCAGCGTCGGTGCTGATGATAATAGTCACCATAGACTGCAGTCTGAATATTATTGACCTTTTAATACTTACTGTGCTGGAGCCAGACTTAGCTGCGTTTTGCATGCATGTTTACATGTCATTGATTCTGACTTATGGCAAGCCTCAGGATTTCCAAGGTATGTGAGATATATTTACTATTTTATCATTGCAACCCTCCAGATACGGACCCTCTGAAACTGAACGGACAAGTTTATAACCATGACTAGCTCATCCCACTATGTCCCATTCATATCACTAGGTCTGTTCTAAGCTCGACTAAGATTGAAATGACACCGTTGCAATAAATGGAGGGAAGTGTGGTTGCTGAAAGTTAGCTGCAATGAGGCGCTACCTCACCTAGAACACTTGCCCATGTTGCAATCCTTTTTCCCTCTGTTTTGATACCACAAATTGATACATGTAGTGGAAAATACTGTAGTGTGAGCGGGATCTGTGTGCACATGGTTGCTGGGGGCATGTTGAGTGCTGGGTAACATAGACATTGCTGTTTCAATAATGTATACATGCTAAAAATTCCAGCTCGTTCTAGGACTACTCTATTTGGGACTTTGTCCTGCCGGGTGATACCAAAAATGTGTCAGAGACAATGCATATGGAAGGTGTTCAGTTTCCTCTCTTGCTGCGCACAAAGGGCCCAGGACTCACTTCTGTACAGGAGTGTGCTCAGGACACAGGCTCTATAGACCTGGATCTTGGCATATACCATCAGCTTCTTAATAAGCCATAATTTCTTTGTGAGTTTAGAGAATATGGTAGCTGCTTTCCCAATGCGTTTATCCAGCTCGACATCTAGGGAGAGAGTGTCAGAAATCTTTGAGTCATGAACAATTCTTGCGTGGAGATGGTAATTGTGACGGCTGCGATGATGTCACCTGCCTGTCATTGCTATGGCTGGAGTTCATCTGCCTATAGCAGGACAGGAGGTGGGACTTCAGAGGGAGGAGCTAAGGTATATAAGGGGGAGTGAATGATGTGTGAGGCAGATAGGGACTTGGTTAGGGTCTGCTTAGGGACTTAGGGCATGTGCATGTTATGAGGTACTGTGTTAGTGAAGGTCTGAGAGAGAGAGTGTGTATGAGGGGATACTTTATTATACTGATTGCCTTATTTAGTTAATACAGTGATTTACTATTACTTATGTTGTATCAATAAACAATCATCTTTAGTTTTAAAATCCATACCATTGTCTGAGGAGTCAGATATGTGTGTGGTTGGTGGCAGCGTGTAAAGCGTGTATGTAAGAGTGAAGTGGCGGCTCCTCTGTGACGTAGGAGGAGGCGGCCACAGTAGTAGAGGGAGGTGAGTCCATACCCTGGCCCATGACTTGTGTTTTCTCCAGGCTGATTGTTAGTCCAAAGTCTTGGAAGGCCTTGCTAAAACGATTCATGAGTTGTTGGAGGTCTTCAGCAGAGTGGACAATAATGGCTGCATCATCGGCAAACGGGAAGTCCCGCATGCATTCCAGCTGGACTTTAGTCTTCGCTCTCAATCTAGAGAGATTAAAGAGCTTTCTGACTGATCTAGTGTGGAGATAAGACACCTTCCGTCACAGTTCAAAAGGTGTGCTTCAGTATGACAGGAAAAAAGATCCCCAAAAGGGCTGGTGCAAGGACACAGCCCTGTTTCACTTCACTTTGGATGTCAAAGGGATCTGATGTTGAGCCATCAAAAACTACAGTGCCCTTCATTCCCTCATGAAAGGACCTGATGATGTTAAGGACACGAGGTGGATCGGTGGACATCCGATCTTAGGAAGTATTTTAAAAAGGCTATCGCTGCTAACCAAATCAAAGGCCTTTGTGAGATCTATGAAGGCCCCCTCCCAGAGATCCT